AGAGACATACAGGTCTCCAATTCAACCACGTACACCGTATCACCTGTTTTGGCAGCCGATCAACATAGACACTGACATTTTGACCTCAATTTCCCGCATCCCCCTCCCACCGCCCCTGAAAACGACAAAATTACATCTTTCCACCAACGAGCATGGTTGTTTCGTGAATACTAGGCCACAGTCATACACACGAAGAATTTACATTACCGGAACTTGCCAGTTTTCCCTCATAATGAAGATGAATGTATGGGATAACTTCCTTCGTTATCGTGCAGTGTTTCTTAACCTGACCATTACTTCGTTGTTTGAAGTAAGGGGGTTTCCAATAACAAAAATGTTTTATTTTTAATAATCCTGAGTATCGATTATTAACTATTGTCGCATCCGGTTTTTTCAAGCCGTTGAGGTCTTCAAACAGGAAATAGATAAAGGCAGAGTGCTAAAACTATACGTAGATTTCAGGCCACATGCTTGTCGAACGAAAGCCGTACAAACTGTCTGCTAGTGGCGAACTATAGAAATCTACCTATTGAATGGCATGCTTCTGCTACAGGAATGCCACTTTAATTGGTCTCACCAAATGATTGAACGAATTATTTAACTAAAAGTTTTCCTAAGTCACCTGCCACCTGCATTTGGCATCTAATCAGATGAAATTCAAAAATAATGATCAGCTACACTTATTTTCTTTTAATTACTAAGTTAGTTTTCTTGATTACAGCTATGAAAAGCTCATAGATCTTCCCTCTCCATTTGATTGCAATGTGCGCGAATCCGAGCAATCAGGGACTACAGGCAGCATCGTTTCAGCTGACCTCGAATCGGCCGAACAATTTATCGTCACCTTTATGAAAGAACTGGATCGTCGTACCCAACAGGACCTGCCTGCACTAAAGTGTCTCGGTAACTTCTCCAGCGGGCAGCCGGCTTCAGAAGAAAAACGCACAGCACAGGAGGAGGAAACGAGCTTCTGGAATGACCTCCTGGAATTCGCCTACAACCAATGGAACGAGCTAGTCCTGCTGGCAAGCCACAAACAGCATACAATCCAAATGGCGCAACGATTCTGTCGACTGGGGGCTGAACAAGAAAACTGTTTGAAGTGGGTCGAAGCGAAGCAGGAGGTTCTGCTGACCACCGGCAACGATGTCACCGATGTACGCGAGGTGATTCGTATGGAATGTCGCATGTCAGGCTGGGAGAGCGACCTGAAGGCGCTGACGGGAAGTGTTGAGTCCTGTCTGGGCGAACTGGACTCTCTGCGGGAGGCGTTGTCTCAGGCTGTCCAGGCTACCAGCCAGAGTGCTGACGGTTTGAAAGCTGCAAGAAGGGCCGTTGAGGAGTGGAAATGGAAGCTGCAGAGGCGGTGGGATGACTTCATGCTGCTGCTGGAAGAACACAAGAAAAAACTAGATATGTCGCTGGCGTTACAAAATGTGCTTCAGGTATGTTTATTGGTAAAACTCAATGCGATTTCTTGACTGAGAAACTGAGATCACCTTAGGAACATATTTTTGTTGTTGCTGACGTTTAGAAAAGATTGGTTCACTCGTCAGTCTCAATGTGATAAAGGCCAAATGTCGATCAGAATTGTAAAAGTATTGAGGCTAATGCTCGCATTGCAAGTGTGTGTATCGCTGGGGATTAAGTGAGTTAAACGCTGGCAACTGCGATATTCAGACCATGGTTTCTTAGGAGATAAGAGAGAAGTCTTGGGAAGGCCAGAGTGTTAGGAATAAGGTATTATGCACAGAAGTATAGGAGAATAGATAGAAAGAGTTTTGACGGTCAAACGACTGAAGTCCGGCTGCGAGAGTGTCAATTTGGGAGTGACGAGAGCGTTGGGAATCGTCGGATAGCCGGCGCATGCCTCGGTATGGCAGCCAATCACGCGGCTAATGTCTAGAATAGCGGTCGTGGCGTGACCTTG